TTTGAGGTTTTCCCTTTTCCTCATATAACTTATCAAGATAAGAGGGACGATTGTAATAGGTTGGAAGCTTTGGATGTTGTCCTCTCAATTTATAGATTTGAAGAGGTTCGAGGTTTTCAAGATTATCAATAGTATTGATATTCTTAGAGTTTCTTAGTTTAGAAATTTGATTTGCAAGTTCTTGTAAAATACTTGATTCAGATGAAAGAGTATCTTTCTGGTGAAAAGATAATGCTGTTTCTACACAAAGATACCTTTAAACTATTTTGGTTTTACCAAATTCATAAAGTTTGTTAAATGCTAATGCCTTTGTGTCCTTTATCAAACAGGAATGAGGTAGAAGACCACAAGCCTAAAATAATTGCAGTGTTGACATTACTTAAAAGTATATAAATATTTATACCTTCACTTGACCTTTTATTTTATTACCTTTTTTTTTTTTTTTTCAACTAGTTGCTGGAGTTTTTCCCTGGGTCCAGGGTGGGGTAAGGGGAGTTTCATGGTTGCTGGCCTTTTTCAATTAACGAACAGCTAGAGCCTATGAAGTCATCTGTATGGGGGTTTAATTGGTGCTCAATTTGTTATGATTTGTTCACAATGCTCTTATTTATGAGTCCTCAGCAACGACTGTAAAATCTTCATTCCTTCATTTGGTTTGATGAATTTGCCGAACACTATGGGATAAATGTAGGGAAAAGTAGTTCTATGGATGCATAAAAAGAGAAGGAATGAAATTAAATCAATGTTAATGTAAAGCCTCCAAATTAGGTTTTATGTTTGCTAGTAATGTTCATTAGAAAATGCAAGTTGCCTATGTCCACAAGGAAGCCATGGTAGTAAACGCAATTGCATAACCTCGGCAAACCGCTTTCCCTTACCTCTTTACGCCTGAAGGGTGGTTCCCACTTTTTAGTTAAGCTAAGAAGTTTATTTTTTGGGATAAGACAGACAAAATCACTTCCATCTGTGTCCCTTTGACTCCTAAAGTAAGGCCCCACCTTTTGCTTTTAGTCAGAAGTTAATCATGGGAAGACCTTGGAGCTCATAAAGTGACAGAAAGATGAGAGGAGAACACAGAGAGAAGAAAGTAGTGACGGACAAGAAAAATGAAAATCCTGAAATATGTTGAATCATCATAATGCTTTCTTTCTGAAAGTTCCTCGAGAAGATGTTCAACCATAAGATATTATTTTATATTCTTTTAAGAAACATGTCCGTCTTCAAGAGCATTATTTTTGTCTCAATAACTTGATGTCCCATGTATGTCAAGAGTCTCAAGTAATATTTGTTTTCATTTAAGCAAGCATAAGAACAATTTATATAACCAAAAAGAATTATTAAATAGTAAAAAAAGAACAAAGAACAAAGAAAAAAACTAAATTGAATATTTATTGATGTATCATAATAACTGAATGCACAATATTAATAAAATAAAAATAAAAAAATATGCAAGGTTACAGAATTTGAGCATTGGGGTGCCTTATATTTTGGCTGAATTGGTATCTTATTTCAGTACTGTCAACGTACTTATTACTAAACTTAATGCGTGTAGGTTTTGAGAGGAAATTTTGATATCTGAAATTTGACATTATATACATAATTAATTAAAGATCACAATAACTAATTAAATTTTATATAAATTAATTATTAAAGAAACCAAAGTTTAGAATTTCTTTTCAGACCTTTATAAAGAAATTTGTAGAAAATAGGGCATGTAATAGACCAAGATATAAGTCCCAATTGCCAATCTGCAATTAGGCGCATCTGTGGTACCCTAGTCACATAGATTGTTTTAAGTTATATATGGTGCCTCTATTGATTGTCTGAATCTTCATTCATAGTAGACTTGACTTTGGTTTTCTTTGTTTTCTCTTTATGTTATTATACATATATCTGTTTTTCTATGGGAAGAAGTGCGTCCATCTGCAATATGAAAAGAATTGATTATAAAATTAATTACTTGCCTACTCAAATTGTTGCTAAAATATTATTTTTTCTTATTTTATCAAAACTGGTCTTTTTTAATGAACTTTACTATGGCCTCACATTCTGATAATAGTAAATTCAGCATTTAAGAATAGTTTAAAACATTTTATACCATGTATTATAGCCATTATTTCATAACTAAGCTAGTTAGATACTTTTCTTTTATCTTATGTTTTTCACTAGCATATCTACTAATATTTTCTTCTTTTCTATTACTATATTTATTTGTTTTAATATAAAATTCCTATCCTAATTCACATCCACCTATCTCTATTATTTTATATTCACTATCTAAATGTAACTCTAAAGGTGGTAAATGTTTAACTTCTTCTTTTATCTGTATAACTAGTTCTATATCTGTTTGATGAAAATATTTTTTTCCTCTACTTGATAGCTACAAAGGTCCTACTTTCTTTCCTAAGTCTTTAAAAAAATGTTTAGCATAATTCAAAATTTCTATAAAAGCTTCTAATTTTTTTGTTTCTTCAATTCTATCTGGAAACCTCAAAATCGTCTGTAGTATGTGTGGACGAAGTTGAATTTTACCTCGCCTAAAATTATTCCTAAAAATTCAATTCTTTGTTTATTTATTTCCATTTTCTTTTTACTGAAAAATAAGTCATTTTCTATAAATTTATTTAAAACTATTTCTATGTGTTTCAAATGTTCTTTCATGTTTTTACTATGTACTAAAGTATTGTCTATACACAAACAAATGGAAAGGAATTAAAAATAGAATCTTTATATAAATTAATTATTAAAGAAATCAAAGTTTAGGATAGCTTTTCAGACCTTTATAAAGAAATTCGTTGAAATAGGGCATGTAATAGACCAAGATGTAAGCCCCAATCGCCACTCTGCAGTTGGGCGCATCTGTGGTACTGTACAGGTTATATGATGCCTCTATTGATTGTCTGAAACTTCATTCAAAGTAGATTTGGCTTTGGTATTCTTTGCTTTCTCTTAATTATTATACATATATTTGTTTTTCTATGGGAAGAAGTGCACCTACTAATAGAAAATAGAAGTTATCTGTCAACCAGAAGACATGCCTGTTTTTAATTTCCATGATTAATTGAGGGTATTGCTATTTACATCCACAATTGTTGTATATATCTACTTTTAAAAGGAAAATTATATTATATTTTTAACCTTATGTAAATTTACTTAAATAGACATACAAAAGTAAACAAAAATATATCACTCTAAATTCATCCACTTATATTTATTTTCATTTAAATTTTTTTGGACCTTTTTATATTCTTTTAAAATTAATGTTTAACTAAAACCCTAATATTCATTAAATATTCTTTTCAACTAAAGTCAAAATAACAATGAAAGAGACACCATTAACACCTTTTTATATTCTTCTTGACATCTTCATTTTTCTCGGAACATTAATGTATAGTAGTCCTTTCAAATTACAAAATAATCAATAGAGCCAAGATTTCTGTGACTTAAATGTTTTTAGGTACTGTCAACCAGCCTTAAGAACAGCCTCTTTTTTTATCTTATCCTTCGATTTTTCTGCAATTTTTACCACTGCCCTTTCCTTACCCATATCATGGTGTTAACTCTTCACTTTTCAGCCCTCAAATTCTATTAGTTTCCCAATCCATAGCCAATTCTGTTGTCTGTTCAATATCCAAAACTCTGATGTTATCTTCTTTCAACCAATCCAAAGTTAAAGGAAAAGAGCAAAAATTGAAAACTAAAGCAACTTGCAATAATAAATAAATAAATAAAATATGAGAGAGAGTTTCCAGCCTAGATACTTTCTATGAGTTGGATTAGTTTGCAACTTGGCTGTATAATATTTTACTTTTTGTAATCAAATGGTATAATTTTTTAATATTTATATATGCCAGCAGCTTTTTGAAATGGATAAGTTAGGAATTTCTATTGTTCATAGATCTTGAACCAGATCTATAATATTCATTTCTTAATAGATTTAGGATTTATCTACTTGTACAGAAAATGTTGCCCACCTGCATTGCAGATGCATTGTTGGCAGCACATAGCCCCTGTTTGAGCTCCATTATAATTAGTTTTTGGGAAAAGAATGTGTGATTAAAAAAGAAGGAAAAATTTTGAGTTTACGTGTAATATTATTTTTTTGGATAATGTGTGGTTGAGAAGAAAAGAGAGAGAGATGTATTTTGAAATTAATGGAGCCCAAATAGGGGCATAATCGGCTACCAATTTTTTTTTTTTTTTTTGGCGAAATCCAATGACAGAATAAGTGTATGTACACATTTTCTGTACATATAGCAAGGCTCATAAACTTATCTATTTATTGATGAAACATAACTCTGTGATGATCTATAGTGATATGTAATTATGGCTCTCCCACCTGTAATTGCTCTTGCTGTATGTGACTTTGTGTGGTATGGTATGCTTCCATCAAGACTATGATGTCACAAATTTATTTCTTGAATTATCTATATTCTCTATTTCCATTTATAAAAAATCTGATATTATGATACTTCGTTTTCCCCGTGTTTTGTAAATTATCTGTTCGCAGAGATACTTTGTTGTAACAAGATCTCTTGTCGTGGGAGTGTCTGAGGGATTCTGAAGTAGCTTATGCTGTAAAAGCCATGTTGATGTTATATATAATCGGATTTTTTATTTTTTTTTTTAAATTTTGAAATTGTAATAGGGATAGATTTTAGGGTGATAGATATATAAAAGTGGCGTGGATGGATAGTGTTTAAATGAATAAATTTAATATGGACAAAATTTGAATGTGATGTGGATGAAATTAGTAATTTTTAAAATTTTTAATAGGGATAGATATAGAATGGGATAAATATATATAAAAATGGTGCTAGTAAATAGCGGTACCCTTAATTTATTGAGAGGAAAAGGACAGGTGCAGTTCATATCCCCCTGCACGAACCTGCAAAGTCTCCCCTATTCCATCTTAGTTTTTCTATTTCATTTTTGACAGTTACGTTTTCATTTGTCTGCCTATGGCATATATTTTGAGAATTTCACATGTTATTTCTCAGGGCCTGAGATGGTACGCGAGACGCCTTAGAATAGATGAAGATGGAGATGTTGCGGATGAATTCCTTGATGAGGTACAGGCAGATATGTCAATGAACACAGAAAATCATAACAGGAAATTGCCGAGGTTCGAAGTCAAGTACAAGAAGCCTGCCAAGGTGAGGAGTCAGCTACTTCTACCAAATGGTAAAATTCAACAGCAAGTGGAATACCAGGGCAGATTAGAGTGGGTCTAAATCTTAGCCTTAAGTTTACTTCAAGACGGTTTTTCAGCATATTGAAGGCTGCCCCACTGTTTTTCTTCCATTGCCTACCTAGATCATGACGTGATTAGTTAAATTAATGTGTACTGTAACTCTTCTTCAACGTTGTGTTTTAAGGTTGTCTGAGTATGATTTGTTTGGCTTTTGAGGGAAAAACAGGTAAAACGTTGTGAACTGGTTTTTATTTACTGCCCTTGTACAATGTGAAGTTGTATCCATTACATCCTATATTATTTGTGTACACAGGCCATTGAAAGAATTGGTTTTTACTAATGTGATATATCCACATAATTTTGCATGTTTAATATGTTTGATATATTTCTGCAACAAATTTTGCATAGTGGAGAGGATAAAATTTATTTTACAGGATGTATTCTGCAATGCTCTTACAGTGCTCTAGTCTTGTGCAACCTCGTTTTTGGCTGCAATTTTGTGATTCTGAGTAGAACACAAAGCACCAATGCAACTGTTTTTTTATCTCATTGCCAGCCATTATGGAATCGTACATTGCCAATGAAAGCTCAGTCTTTGCTTCTTGCATTAGACCCTTAAACCGTGAGATCATACTGTCGTATGTTGATATACATTCATGAATAATAGGCTTCATTGTTGGCTTTGTTTTCTTGTCTTTTAGCGTACTTTCAAGAAAACTTTGGTTTTCTTACCTAAGTCGAGAGCTGAGTCGAATGCTTCTTGTAGGAGTGCTATGCTATCCTTTGCCTTGGCACTCTTTGGACTTATTTTAGAACCTTTAAACGGACGTAGTGCAGACGGTCAATCTTGTGTGACCCAGCGATTTCTATTAGTTCTTGCAAGTTCCACTAAGAAGCACGAAGATATAGGGTACGCGTCACTATTTGATTTTGTCCAAGGCTAACCTTGATTGAGGAGCTTCAAATTCAAGTTTCCTATTTTTGTATTTTGAACACATGGAAGACCACTGATAAACCATTGAGCAATGCTGAGTGTGACTTTGCACACATCACCACTGCACACAGCTCTCACAGCGGCAATGGTTTTGAGGGTGGTTTTGGGTTGTTTCTTCCTCCTCCGATCTGCTGCTTAACCAGAATTTTGGGGTGATATTTGTTGTTGGTGGTGATGGTAATAGTGATAGTGGAGGTGATGCTGATGGTTGTGGTGCTAGTAGTGGTGTTCTGGCGGCAAGTGGTGAAGGTGGTGGTGTTGGTCTGCGACAAAATATTGGTGCAAGCGATGGTGGTAAGGTGGCGCAACGTTCGATTGATGCTAATGGTGAATTTAGGTTGACTTGAGTTGAGTTAGGTTGGGTTGGGTTGGGTTGGGATGAAGAGTGTTTGGGACCAATTATTTAGGTAATCGTGATCAATAAATTGATTAATTTGTGATCAATTAATAATATACGATCAATAAAATAGATTATTCGTTACTAATAAATAATGTGACCTAAAAAATTTGAGATTGTGATTAAATTTGTAATTGCGATTCACAATGTTTGAAGTTGTGATCAATTAATTTGATAATTTGTGACCTTGAAATAAGTTGTAACTTATAAAATTTATTATTTGTGAACGAGAAATAATACATGGCCTATTAATTTGATAATATGTGACTTATAAATTTGTGATTTGTGACCAAAAAATAATACATGACCAATTAATTTGATAATTTGAGACTAATAAATAAGTTGTAACTTATAAAATTTGTGATTTATGATTGTGATATTTTGTGATTGTAACTAGTACAAAACTTTGATCATAAACTCTATAGTATTGTAACCTTATTATATATAATTTATAAAATATTTTAAATTATCTATTTAATTAATAAAATTTAATTATGACTCGCTTTTTGAATTTTTAAAACAAATTTCTTAATTTTGAAATTGTATCTTTCAAACACCTTAAATATATATTTTACCCTTGATGAATATAGTCGACTATAGGAGAACCGATAAAAAAATGGTCAAGAGTCCGTTCAACCTCAAAATCCCCTAAATTATTTGCAGTTTACATAGTTTTTTCCCGTTTAAGACAAAAATTTACTTATAAAAAAATATTTTTGTATAAATAATTATTTATGGAGTAAAAATATATATTAATAAGACGAAATTTACTTATAAATGTAAAAAGTTACTTATAAGTAAAAAGAAATTCGCTTATGTGTAAAATTATATAAAAGCACAAATTAAATTATAATTGTAAAGTTTACTTATAAATAAAAAAAATGCTAACTTAAAACATTAAGTAAATGTTTAAATTTATTTAAATTTGTAAGTTAAATATTGACTTGCATGTAAAAAAATTATCTATAATTAAGATATCACTTATAAGTAAAAAAATTCACTTGTGAAATAAAAATTTCACTAAAGGAGATATACTCAATTTTATTCTTTTAAAAAACTTTCAGAATCAGATGATAATAAACTTTATTGATTAGACTATTTTAAAAAAGTAAGGATTTTAATGTATTGGCAAGTCTATGAACAAAAATGACTAAATTTAATATGATGTAAAAATCAAGGAGTAAGTTGCAAATATTATAAGTTGGGTTGTATTAGGTCTAGGGTTCAAGGATGGAAAGAAGGAAAAAACGGCGCGACAATTTCGCTAGATTGTCATCCTGACTTTGTTCGAGCTGCAAAAATAGAAACATCGTCGCTCGCCACTCGAGGGACATCATCATCCGGAAAGTTTTAATTCGCGATTTTAAGGCTTTTTATTCGGCTTATTCAATCCTAAACCTACAGTATAAATACCGGCACACCTCTAAAAGATTTTTTTCTGAAGGTTGAACGTTGAGCAAATATATACTACTTCATCAAATTCATACATAGCTTTCAACCTTCATTGTTTGATTTGTTCTTAACGGTGAAAACATCAAATCCACTTACTTCAAATACCAAACTGCTTACGTGGAGTTCTTCGTTGATCCATAAGAGATAGATGAATCAAAAGGCCATGAGTTAGTGCAGGAGCACGCAATCCAATAGCCCTTTGAAAATTGCAACCAGAAGTTGGTGCATAGGCATTCAATTCAGGAGGACGGTGGGATTTGCAGTCAGTAGGTCAGAAAGTACTAGTGCTAGTCGCGTCTGATCGACTGTAAGTTTAAATTCATTTATAGTGGATTTTTTACTGAAAAAGTGCCTAGAGTTTTTATCGAGTTGGAGTTTCTTTGTGATCATTCTATGTGTTATTTACTGTTTTCATATAATTGCAACAGTTCAACATAGGGAAATTGGATTGATTGATTAACCATCTAGAGGTAATTAAAAGTGACTTATTGTTATTTAATTATTAAATTTTAATTTCGCATAATCACATATTCACCCCCCTCTAGGTGTAATTTGGGCCAAACATCGTAATTTCAAAAAACCATTACTAATTATTAGATTTTAATTCTGCATAATCACATATTCACCCTTAACAAGTGACCTAGAAAAATCTAATACTCAACTTCATTCATTCATGAGTAGTACTCAAAAACTCGATAATCTGTTAAGGATGAATAAGCTTGCTGGAAATAGGTAGGGTCTAGGATACGTTCAAAATTGTGGTGCACTGGGACACATAAGACTTAGGTGTCATAAACTTGATACTAGAAGTGGAAGTTAGGATATCTCGAATAAGGTTAACTTCCTCTCCAATCAAGTTAGCCACTTAACTAAGATGATGATTCGATTAACTAGATTTACTTATACTTCTAAGAAGGTTTAGGTTAAGAAGAGTGACCTGAGAGATAATAAGATTGATCATGCTCTTAAAGGTAAAAACATCTTTGTACCTCTTTGATTAGGTGCTTAGGTGCATGCATGTGCAGTTCATTGAATCCATTCATTCTTGCATGCATCTCATTTATTTTTATTTTTTTGTTTTAATTTTTAATTTTTTTAAAGGTTCTTGTTTAAAAAAAATTGTGCTACTGGACATTTCATGATGTTCTTAAATGTTGCTTTTGTGATCGAGTATGCATTCATCTGATTTGTAATGTAGTTTCCATTACTGGTTTAGGTTATTATGGAGTACTTAGTATATATGTTTTCATGTATTATCTACACTACACACACTATGATATTGTTAATGAGACTCAATTGCGTGTGTGAGCTTTGGGATGACAATCACATGTTAGTAAGGTGACTTTGAACATGAATTGACCCTATTTATTAGATCTAAACTCAAATTTATCCCTGATAATAAAAAGCTCAATATCTTATGTTCTTCTTCGAAACCTATTTGACTCGAGCAATCAAGCTTGCGGGATTTCTCATAACCTGGTGCCTATGGTCCACTGACTTGAGATAATCGGTCTAAAGGTCACTGCATGTGTTATTTTAATCGCATAATGGAAAAGACATTGCATTTCAGATGTGAAAAACAATAATGAGCTTAAAATATTGAAAGATGTAAAAAAATTGCTCAAAGTCAGGGAAAAGAAAATATTCATACAAAATGAGCTTTTATTTATAGTTTCTAATGTGCTATAAAAGGTTTGATTCATAAGTAGGGGAATGCACTTATTGACATTGATGTTTAGCATGTCATTTCTCACAAAATTAAGGTTTGGAGTCATACTTATAAAGGATTAGTGACACTTTACACATATGGTCTCTTATACAATTTACTCTATGTTAACTTGAACTAAGTATGTGGGAAAGTTTTTTGTACATTGATTATACTTCTGCATGTTAACACCTATATTTTTGAGTTATTATATGTTAATGTTATACGTTTTTAATTATCGATTTCCTTGTTATTTGTGATAAAAAGGGTGAGTAGTTAAGGCATATGAGCGCTTGATGATAAGGATGTCATTTTTGTTTTAACTAGATTATGTTTTGATATTTAGTGATATCAATATTTTTTTGGCATGTTGGTTTACATTGATATTGCATCTTAATTTAGTTGGTATGACTTATCATAAACCGTTTGAATTGTGTTTATCTATATTATTGTTTTACATGCTTTTACACAGGGTATTTGAGTTATCTGTTT